GATGTTGTGCGATGGACCCCCCATTTAGTCCGAACTATCAACCGAAGCAAAGTACGAGTTAGAGTGGAAATGCATCAACCAAATAGGCAAGGCGTGCCTTACGTTCATTTGTGCCAACCTCATTCCCACCCGCTCGTGGACTCGCGTGGACCCCGAACGGTGCGCTCTTGCATACTACATCCTCAAGGGCACACCGATCAACATTGGCGTAATCATATCCGGTCGACTTTGGACCTCCATGGTCAACAACTCCAAGGGGTTTTATTTCCCTTGCCTAGTTACCGGCTTGTGCAAGAAGGCGAAGGTCCCAACCAAATCAACGGATATTCTCACCTCGATTCGGAAGCCGATGAGTGACCTTGCGGCCCAACAATACAAGGCACCCATCCAAGATGGCGAGCAACCCGTCGAGAACCAACCAATAGCTCCACCCGAGGGTCCAAGCACAATTTCGGACCGGCGATTTCAAAGACGAATGGAGCGCGAGTTGGTGATCACGAGAAATCGGCTTGACACGGTGGAGCACAAGGTGAGCACGATCGAGTCCCTCCAACGGTGGTCGGGGAAGATGCTCCAAGCCATAGTGCGACATTTGGCGTGCGGCAATCCCGAGTGCGCCGAACCGGTTCCTTTGCCCGCACCGATCCTTGAGCCGGTACCCGAGCTTTCGGATGATGACGGAGATGGTAATGCTCATGCGCAAGGCGGAGTTGACGAGCAGCCCGACGATGGTCCCGACGCGTAAACAGGTGTTTTCTATCCTTAAACTCCGGGCAAATCACATTGAGGGCAATGTGAATTTTAAGTTTGGGGGTGGTTAACTACTTGTTTTCGTTTATGTGCGCTTTATGTGTGTTTTATGTGTGTTTTATTTTTTTTATTTTTTTTGCATGCTTTAGTTTTTGTTTTAATTGCCGTTTTATTATTTTCGTTTAAAAAAAAAAAAAAAAAAAAAGAAAAAAAAAAAATTTGTGTTCGATGCATCGATGAATTATGATGATGGTAGATGGTCAATGTTTGATGATGAGACCACTTGTTTTATGTTGATAAGGAGTATGTATTTGTTTAGCTTTCGATTCAACGGAACGTAGAAGTGAATTATTGCTAGGAATCACACCTTGTGCTTTGCTTTGGTTGAATGTTTTGCATTTTAAATCTGGAATTTATTTGTGCTCAATCATGCTTTGTTCGGTTTTAAATCTCACCTTAGGACATTTATGATACGAAATGTTGATAATAAGTGATTTGGGATATGATTTGGGCCTTCTTTGAACCGTTTGAGCCTTTCAGCCTATCCTTTTTGTCAAATTATCCTTAGAACCTTGATTTGAGCCTCGGAGAAAAGGTGTTCTTTCTTTTAGCCAATATGTAGAAGGTAGAAAAGTGGAGATTTCTGAATAATCATCCCTTGGAGGTCGGTCGAAAAAAAATTCTTATAAGATCTTTCTTCTTCTTCGTAAAAAAAAAAAAAAAAAGAAAAAAAAAAATAACAATAGATATATATGTGCATCTTCATATATATCTAAGTTCTTTGATTAAAAAAAAAAAAAAAAATAGAAGAAGAAGAATAGATTATAAGGGAGAAATAAGGGCTAGTTGTTGAATTGTGTTGAAAACTCGAGTCATTGCCTCAAAGGCAAAGGTGTTGACGTGTGAATTTTGGAGAGTCGAGTTTATTAAAGTCCTTAGAGGTGAATTCATTGTTTCAAACGCCTATCTTTCAAATTTTGGCGTAATCACCTAATTTCAAGAAAATTAGCCACACATTCCCATATTACCTACCTCGGACCAAAGAGCCTAACAATTGAAAGCCACAAAGTCCCAATGATCCCAATAGCTTAATATTCAATATTAGTTGAGTAGAATAATTTGGTGAGTATTTGGAGTCAAATATATGCATGTAAGTATAAATTCTTTCTATCTTTAACTTGCAAATATTGGATACTTGAAGCAATTGTATGATTTGTGGTTTTTGGTAATAGTGAGTGACTAAGTACCGTTGAATGTTAAGCTTGCGGATACCTAGGAATTATCATCATAATTGCAAGTTCTGAAAACACGAAGTTGACCAATCGACCTATGTAATGAGATGTATTGTCATGGTTTGTGTTCTTAATTTGATTTTACTTGAGGACAAGCAAAAGTTCAAGTTTGGGGGTGTGTTAAGTGTATATTTATACACTTAATTGTACCTTTTAATTGGAGCTTTTGGTGTGTTTTAAGGATAATTGGTGCTTAAAATGGCTATTATTTGTATTTTAGGTGCAAATTGGAGAATTGACAATTTTTGGGGTGAAAACTGCAAATTCAGAGAAAAAGTGGGTCAAAAGTGGAAAAAATCAGATTTCTGAAGAATTAAAAGACCGCACGGCCGTGCGGATTTTAGTTCAAAATCTCACACGGCCGTCCGGGTGGACGTGATGGCGCAGTGAAGGAAACTCAATTATACAAGGAAACCCGCCCTATTAGACTTTTGCACCCTATTTAAAGGCCAAGAGCACACAATTAGAATCATCTTTGATCTTAAAAAACCTTTTATCGTTTAGCTTTAGTTTTTAGTTTTTTATCTTTTCTACACGCAATCAAGGAGCAAGAGAACGAAGACGAAGACTTGACGACTCTTCATCCTAGTTTTCCTTTTTCCTTTTCTTTTCTGATTTTTATGAATTTTCGAATTTTTATTATGTTTTTCGTTACGAACATGAGTAGCTAAGTTTTTATTCTAGGATTTTATTGGAACCCTATGTGGTAATTCGAACCTATTTTTCTACTTTTATGCAAGTTTAATTCTTCGATTATTTCTTCTATCTGGATCGTATTTAGTGCATGAGCGTAGCTAACTTATGTTGCTATTTGTTATTGTTAGAATTGATTGACAGATCGTTTTAATAATTAGAACAGGGATAGAAGAGCCTTCGAGTAGTTTTTCACCGAATGCGTGTGTTGATTGCATGTATTATCGTAGACATACAGATAATACCTTAGGTAGCCGTTGTCGAGACTTGTTATTTAATGCTTTATTTATACTAGGTTTGCATAGACATATAGTGAATCTTTTATGAATAATAGGTTTATAGCGCAGCGACAGCTGGTTATGAATAATTTCGTGTCTTGGGTTAATAATCGGGAATCGTAACTTGCATAATAGGAGATTAATTGGGTGAAGAATTATCGCATAGGGGGAAGATAAAATCCTAGATCCGTTTTATACTGATATTTTCTCGTGTTTAATTGCTTTCTTAATTAGTTTAATTTATTTAGTTAATTAATTTGACAACCCTGCGTAGGCTGAATAAAAATCATAATTGTTAGGATTTGGTACTTAGGATTAAATAATTTGCGTATTCCCTGTGGGATCGACATCCGACTCTCACGAGTCTACTTTACTACTTGTTTGCGATACGTACACTTGCGTGTTGGTATTTAGCACCCAACAATTACCGATAAACCTCTATAAATTAATACAGTTGGGACCATTAAAATTCTATTAATTAAGCAAAATAGTAACTTATCAATAAATTAATAATTATAAATTTATATATTAATTAATAACTTATTTATTTATGAAACTATTTTTCTATTATTTTCAACAAATACATTTTTGAAATTTTTTACGTATATATTATTTAGTGTACCATTGAGCCCGTTTCTCGAACGAAAGCTCTTAAAACAGCAATGGTATTGAACAATTTTCTGTTGACGTATGAGAAACTATACTACAAGTTTTAGCCATTTTAAGAAAAGTGAGAAACGTGATTGATGGTGATGTCAATTTTAACAATAAAAAAAGACAATTAAATCATAATTTATTAAGTATTCATAGATCTATAAAATATGTATTGAATCATGTAATTTAAAGAATAATTTGTATGCATTATTAATTTATATATTGTATGGGGCTTCTTAAAATTTTTCGAATGTGTATTATCTTATACATTTAGCGAATTATTAATCTAACAGGATGTTCCCGAGTCGAGACTGGAAAAAAATATTATTTAAACGATGTTATTAATTTATCGGATATAAATTTTATCAAGGTTACTTACTGTATTTTAGTTTGTGCTCAAGGATTAAGAATCTCAATAAATGTTGCTTAATTTTAGAAAAATATTCTTATACTTATAAAATGCCCTTGCCAATAATTAATGTGAGAGAGTGTTTGAGATAGTTAATAAGGGTAAAACTGATAATTACACAATTAATACAGTGTTGAAAATGTAAAGTGACAGATAATATTGAACAAAAATAATTTTAAAAATAGACAGTTATCGTTGAATAGAGGAAGATAGAGTATTTAATAAGTACACCATCATTAATTACTTCTAAACTATTTGTTCTTCCATTATTTATCTTGTAGACACTAACGACTAACGAGGTAACAATACTCATTCAATTCAAATAATTAAATGCAAGTATTTGAAAAGTCATTCCAGGATTACGATAAGTAGGCCCTTCAAAGTTGCTTTCAAATGTAAAGAAAAGGAAAAATGTAAGGCAAAAAAAAAAAAAAAAAAAAAAGCAGAGAAGGAAAAATGGAGGAATACTATGCAGAATGCTGTAAACCCCATTTCCATATGGACTGGAAATCGGACGGCTGCCAGGAGTTCGTGTGGGAGTCGACCAGTGGCGGCCCTGGCCCAGGGCGAGCTGGGCTCAAGCCCAGGGCCCACCAGAGAATGGGGCACAAAAAAATTTTTTTTTTCTTAATATACGTATGTATATATTCCTTTTTTTTTTTTCCTTTTTTTTTGTTTTCCTAATTTTCCTTTATTCTCAATTAACCGGCCGATCTTAATTCCAAGATTGTTTTTTCTCCCCATATTACGCAATCAATTCAACGGCCAAACATATTTTTAAGCCCTCAATTTATTTCTCCTTTTCTTTCTCAATAAATTCAACGGTAAACTCCTATATTCAAGCCCCAAAATTAGCTTCTCAAGATTTGCCTCTTCAACTTCTTCTTCTACAATGTCGATATATTGGATGTTAACATCAGTATTTTTCATGTTCAATTCAAAAAAAAAATATTATTGAAGAGAAATATTATTCAATTTCATTCTCCCAAAGTGAATCGATAAACCTCAAAGAAAACGGTTGCATATTTTCGGGCGAAAGGACTCTAGGAATTCCCGTCATCCCGTCATCCTATTTCCGGTCGAAGGAAGGTCTCCAACGATTTTCTTCGTTCTTACAGTAGGTGTATTTTTTTTATTATTATTATTTTCACCCAACAATAGATTATTTATTAAATTATATTTCTTTCTCCAGGTACTTATAGGAATTGAATTTTGAATTAGAAAACAAGTCTATAGATGTCAACAAGCCTGTGAATTGCAAAACGAAGAAAATAAACCACTGGACAGATATTTCTCCAGGTGCTATTGTTTCTTTTATTTATTTATTTTTATTTAGATTAGTAGTATTGTTGTTGAGTTTAATTTTTCACTGAAAATTTAATATGAGTCCTAAAAAACAAGACTCTGGATTTAAAAAAAGGGAAAAAAAGAAAAAGCAAGATGAGGAAGATGTGCATTTAAGAAAATCTATGGCTAAATGGATTTTCAAAAAACATGATAATTTAGGTAATGCAATAGTTGAGAATTTAGATAATATTAACGAGGCGAATGAAGAGAATACAAATTGTGTGAATGAAGAAATTGGTGATATAATTGAATCTGAGAATGAAATTAATATAAATGAAAAAAGTGATAATGCATTTAACGAACCAAATTTGGATGTGGATATTTATGATCCAAGGGTATGGGATGGTTTAGATGCGAAGTTTAGAGACTTGCTTGTAGAAAATGGCCCTAAAAGAGAATTAAATGTAGAATATCCTCTTGATAAACTTGGTAGGCATTTCTCCTCAAATTTTTATATGCGAGTATTATCCAATGGGGAAAAGCATGATAGAAAGTGGCTAGTATATTCAAAACATTTAGATAAAGTTTTTTGTTTTTGTTGTAAGTTATTTAAAACAATGCCGAGTAGAAGTTTGTTAGGAAGCGAAGGAATTTGTGATTGGAAACATCTTAGCGAGAAACTTACACAACATGAAAATAGTAAAGAACATCTCATTAACTTAAGAACTTGTGTTGAGTTGCGAATTCGATTGAGCAAAAATCAAACAATTGACAAAGAAATACAAGAGCTAATTAAGCAAGATACTCAACATTGGAAACAAGTTATGCTTAGAATAGTTGCTGCTGTAAAATGTCTTGCAATACATAATTTGGCATTTCGTGGCACAAATGAACGGCTTAATGAAGATGCAAATGGAAATTTTTTGGGCTTAATTGAAATGATTGGGGAGTTTGATCCGGTAATGCAACATCATTTTCGACTAATTCAAGATAAAAAAATTCATTATCATTATCTTAGTCATAAAATACAAAATGAATTGATACAAATTCTAGCTTCAAAAGTCAAAGATGCAATTATTGAAATAATACGAGAGGCAAAATATTATTCTGTAATCCTTGATTGTACTCCAGATGCAAGTCATCAAGAACAAATGACAGTAATTATAAGATGTGTAGATGTGTCAAATACTCCAATAAAAGTAGAAGAGTACTTCTTAGAATATAGAAATGTGGTTGATACTTCTGGATTCGGGCTTTTTAATGAATTGAAATCTGTTTTAACATCTCTTTCACTTAATATCGATAATATTAGGGGGCAAGGATATGATAATGGCTCTAATATGAAAGGAAAAAATATAGGTGTCCAAAGACGATTGCTCGACATTAATCCAAGAGCGTTTTATATGCCGTGTGCTTCTCACTGTCTTAATTTGATTCTTTGTGAAATGGCAAACTCTAGTATCAAAGCAAAAAGTTTTTTTGGAGCTTGTCAATGCATATATACTGTTTTTGCTAATTCCACAAAACGTTGGAATATTTTACTTGATTATATTGATGGATTAACTTTAAAATCATTGTCAACTACACGCTGGGAAAGTCATATTGAAAGTGTTAAAGCAATTTTATCTCAAGTTTCCCAAATTAGAGAAGCATTGCTTAAATTGGTAGAAATTAGTGATGATGCCAAATTGAGTAGAGATGCTGAATCATTAGCATTAGGAGAACTTTCAAATTTTGAATTTATACTAAGTTTAGTTATTTGGCATGATGTTTTGCTTCGAATTAATGTAGTTAGTAAGAAGTTACAATCTGAAGATATGTGTCTTGATGTTGCTGTTAAACAATTGGAAGGATTGATTTCATTTTTTGAGAATTATAGATTAAATGGATTAAATTCAGCCATTATAGATGCTAAGAAAATAGCAATTGATATGGAAATTGAGCCTGTATTTGTTAAAAAAAGAAAACTTAGTAGAAAGAGGCATTTTGATGAGACTTTTAATAATGAGAGAGAACATACATCAGCCGAAGAATATTTTAGAACAGATTATTTTCTTGTAATAGTAGACAATGCTCTTTCTCAATTGAGGAGTAGGTTTGAACAATTGCAATTGTTTCAATCTATTTTCGGTTTTTTATTCAATGCAAAAAACTTTATTTCATTAGATAGTAAAGAATTGAAGTGTCATTGTGAAAATCTTGAAAATGCTTTAAAATATGGTGATGTTTCTGATGTTAATGCTAGAGATTTAATTTCTGAATTGGAGGTGTTGCAAGCTATGTTACCTAGTGAATCATATGAAATAAATAAACCATGGAATTGCATTAAGATGTTAGAGTTTGTGAAAAGCATGGATATGTTTCCAAATGTAATGATTGCTTATAGAATATTGTTGACTATTCCTGTTACTGTTGCATCCGCGGAACGAAGTTTTTCCAAATTAAAGTTGTTGAAATCTTATTTGAGAAGTACAATGGCTCAAGAAAGGCTTAATGCTTTAGCAATACTATGTATTGAAAAAAATATGTTGGAAAGCATTTCATATGATAGTATAATTGATGATTTTGCTTCTAAAAGTGCAACAAGAAGACATTTTAAATGTTCCGAGTCGTCGTCGTTGGAGTGCAAGATCTGCGGCTGCCACCGCAATTTCCACCGGAAGTTGGTCGTAGTGTACACAAAGTGTCACAAGGTTCACGATTTCAAGGTCCAGAATTCTGTCGACGGTTGCCAGGAGTTCATCCCCAACGGCGGCAAACAAGGATCCCCCACCGCGCTAACTTGCGCCGTCTGTGGCTGCCACAAGGGCTTTCATCGGAATGAGGTCACCATCAAACCAGTTAAATAAGTTGTGTAACTAAACGGGCCGGGCCGCCTGGATCGTTGTTACAGTACTTTTTTTTTTTCTTTCAGTTGTATTCCCGTTTCTTTGGTTTGTTTGTTGAAATGTTTCGTTTTTTTGTTTTTGTTTTTCTGTTTCCTTTGCCCGTGTATGCATGTATTTCGAACTTAACCGGACCATGCAATGTCCATTAGATATTACCTTAAACTGGGATTAATGAGAATATATACATAACTACAAATAATAACAAATACCAAACATGCATATAGTATAAAAACATTATTTAATGAAAATTGTGTCTGCGACGATTACCCCTATCATACGAAAGTTAGCAAATATCCTCCCATGCTTACTTTTAGTCAGTACACTCGACTTATTTATCTTTTTCCCCTTAACCGGCCATGAACAAAACCAAAATACCTCAAAGAGATTTGTCATATTACATGTTGGAAATGTTTTCATTATGTTTAATTTTAATTCTATTTCAATTTTAAATTTTTAACCATATAAAATACACACAAATAGTTAATATAAATGACCTATTACAAATAAGTCCATTAGAGACTACTTATTCATAAAGAGGTTCAGACTAAATACATTAGTACAAAAAATCTAGACAATGTTTAGAGGTGTGTAAAAGATTAAAATATCTCCTTATTTTTAATATGCTCTAATTTCATCATTTAATTCAATGAACCACAAGTTAACCCAAAATTTCACGAGTTATTCAATTTTGACTCATAATCCAATTTTGACTACAATTGCACCCAACGCAACCGTTGACTTTTTTTTTCCTCTATGCTTTTTCTGTCGGTTTTCGACGTTGACTTTTCTTGATTTTTTTTTTCTTGTTTTCTTCTTCCTGCCGCCGTTGACCGGCGGTCAACGCCGGTCTCATGCGGCGTTGACTTTTTTATTTTTTTGTTGGTAATATGCTATGAGCCCCTCAAATGAAACTTAATTTGAACTAAATGACAAGTTCAAATTCAATCTTTTAATTAAATCCTTTATTTGAATTAATATATGAGCCACATCCCTATTTTTTTATTTATTCCTATTTTGCCCTTATATCCTAAATTATCTAACTTATACATTCACGTTTCTTCAATTTCAGATTTATTTATCTTTATTTTTATTTTTTCTCCCACGTTCTTTCTCTCACACACACGTTTTCTGTGTGTCTCATATTTTGTTCAGTATTCACAGATCACAGTTTCAATGGAGGCTTCATGTTATCTCCTGATCATTGTTTGTGATGTTAATGTTTTTCTTTTTTCCTTTTCTAAAAGATTTGTGATGATGCTAATTACTTACATCACCTGGAGTAGTGTAGAAAATGAGCTAGGATAGCAAAGCGGATCAATAGCTTAGCAATTTGATGATCCTGAGGTCCCTGCGAAATGAACACACGTGAACTAAGGCGGGGGTTGATCCGGCGGAAACCCCTCCGACGCTCAAGTCAGATGTACGGATCGTGGAGATGGTAGAGAGAAAATATACTCTAGATTACTTATGAATAATCGAACATACCTTAACAAATGAGTAAAAACCTCTATTTATATGTGTTGATGGGGTTTGGTTTACTTTGTTGGGCCCAAGCCTTATTTTGAAGGTGCTTGGGCTTTCGTGTATTGGGCCCAATTATTAGATAAATTGGGGGCCCATTGGGTCGGCCCAATTAGGTGTATCATTAAGCCCCCCAACTCTCGAGTCGAGGTGGGAGACTTGGCTAGGGGATTCTGGATGGTGTCGAGAGTTAAATGTGATGTGGTTTATCGGGTTGTAATTCGTACTTCCGGGTCGTAATTTGTAATTAAACGACTTCGAAGCCTCTTTTCTCGTTTTTCCTCTTTTTTTTTTTGTTTTTTTTTTGTATTTATTTGGCAACAAGATATATATTTAAGGGTTTTAAATAACATACCAGGGCCAAATAAATAGAATCCGGCTGCGGTGGAGATAATTAATTTGCAATCTTTGTGAACAATAAATATGGGTAAGTGTTTTTAACTTTTTTGGTCTTCTTCTATGCTCTACTACCTCCTTAATTTTTTGTGGTAGGTTAGAAATTTTTATTTCTTGACTGTTTCTTTGGAGAAAAATATTTATCATGTCGAATCCGAGTAAATTGAAATCTTTGCGAATTAAGATCCGAGATCCGGTTCAAAGGAGTGAGATGCCGTTTGGTACTGTGGCTATGGAACGCGAGAAACTTGTAATATCGGGTGCAGAAATCGGATCTGCGGTAGGCGGTGCACAGATCGAGGGAAGAAGAAAGGTTAATTGTGGCTTGGCTGAGGAGGACGACTCGAGCCGTGCAGCCCCATGCCCTAGTCTGAGAGAGGGCGCGCGCTTCGAGGGTGGAGCAAAACCGAGCCGAGCCGTCGAGTTGGAGGCGTGCACGATTGCCGAGGAGAGGAGAGAGAGATGGGGCTGAGGTGACGCGCGCGTCAGGGGCGCCTTCCGAGGCACGCGCGCGCGCGTCGGCTGAGGGGGGGTGCACGCGCGCGCGCCATTGGTCTACGTGGCGGAGATGAAGGGCGCGTGTCTGGTGCTATTTTGGGGCGACGCGCGCGTGCGTCTCGCGCGCAAGCCGAGGGCGACACACGAGCATGTCAATTCTCTAGGGCTGCCGCGCGTGGCAGCGCGTTGGGGGAGAGAGTGGGTGCGCGTGGGGGCGCGTCCGGGGAGGTTTTTTGGGCGCGTGAAGGCGCGTCGGGTCCCGTTTTTCGGGGCTCGTCGCACGAGAATGATGGTCGTGCGGAGGGAGGTTTTGCTTTATTTGATGATGTGAATAGGAGAAGTTCTGGAAGGCGAGAAATCATTGAATCTTGGAGTGACGATGTAGTACCTAGTGTTAATATTTTTGAGCATACGGTTGGGGTTGACTCTAGTAGGCGTCGTTTTTCGGCGCCAAGTCGTGGAGTTCGGAAGCGATAGTGATGAGTCCAATCAATCACGTTGGGCAAGTGAGCCCGCGGGATCGAATGGTGAAGTTGAAGCGATGGTTGAGGTGGAAGAGGAAGATGATATTCCGCTGGGTGATGTTGAGATGGATACGAGGAGGCAAAAGAAGATTAAGCCAATCAATTTTGACTTAGTTGATTTTGACAGTGTATTGATTGAAGAGCATTTGCGGTCTATTCGTCGATTAGTTGGAGGGCCAAGGAATATCGAGTTGCTGTTGCCTCAGAAGGGCGAACGTTTATATTCGCCACCCGCTGGGTTTCATACGGTTTACTTGGCGTATGTGACGTGTACTTCTCAGATCACTCCACATCCAACTTTGTTGAAGATTTGTGATGAATTTAAGATAGGGTATAGCCAGCTATCTCCGACCGCGCTTCTTATGTTTGAGGCCTTTCATCATAGAGCGTCGCTAGTAGGTGTGCCTAGTACTGTGAATTTGTTCAAGGCGTTGTTTACATTGCATCAGCCAAATAAGCTGCCTTTCTTTTGCGTTCATCCGCGGGTTCCCTACAAAATTTTGAAGAGTGCGAAGTTGTCGTTGGGGGATTGGAAATCCCGTTTCTTTTATGTGAGGTCTCCCTCTTTTGATGTCCCTTTGCTCTGGAACCCCGCTTGCGAGAGTTTCAAGATTACCAAGAATATGGCGAAGAGGATTGAAGAATCTAAGTTGTGCGATGTGGAATTTGACCCGAGGCGTTCTATACCGGATAGTCAGCGCTGCATATCCTTTTGTTGCCATCGAAATTTTTTGTTTGTTTTTTTTTTTTTTTTTTTTTGTTCTTCGGTTTTATTTATCTGTTGTCTCTTTTTTGTATAGATTGTATTGATTTTGCGGCGCTTCGAGCTAAGCCAAATGGGACTTCGAAGAAGGCCTTGAAGAAGGTTCCCTCGAATTTGGGAGGTTCTTCGGGTAGCCTGCCTCGAGAGACGGTTCGTGTTGAGACTCCTCGAATAAGCGAAGACGATCGCAGCTGTGCTGGTGAAGTGGAGGTGCGTGAACCCGCGAAAGATCGTGGAAAGGGAAAGCGAGTGGATACCGAGTATGTGGGAAAGCGAGTGGATACCGAGTAGATCCGGAGGAGCCTTATGCCTTTCATGGCGGGGCAGGGAAGCAGTTGTTTAGCTTTGGGGTGAATCGTGATGGGATGGAATCGTATTGGGATATGTCGGACCGTGGTTTGCCGATGATGAGTATCGAGGGCTTCGTTCGGGACTACAGTTGTGCTCGGATGTCCGGTAAGGGTCATTCACACATACTGGAGTTGGCTGGTGGGGACATATGGCGGGTGAGTGTTTGTTTTGTAAACAAGATTTTATGTTTGATTTCCTCTTTTCTTGAGTAATCAATTTTTTGTATTCATATAGTTGATGGCTACTTGGAGTTACCCCATGGAGCAAGATGGGAAAGTAGAAGCTAGAAAAGAAGAGGAGCATGCTCGAAGTCAGGCGTGCGAGGACGAACTTCGAAGCCAGTTGGACATAGCGCAGTCCGATCTTGCTCAGCGGACGGAGGAGCTTTCTTAGAGGATAGAAGAGCTTGAGGTTAGCCGAGGTAAGGCGAAGGCCTAAAAGAACGATGATGAGAAGTTGAACGAGTGCTATGATCAGCTGAAAGCGAAGTATGAAGTTGAGAAAGCGACGGGAAAGAGGTTTTTTGCTACGCCGGGGGGTGCTGTTTATAAGGAGTCCATCGTGGAGGAAACCAAAGTTAGCTTCCGAGATAGTGCTGAGTGTCGTGCTATGGTTGAGGAGCGTGCTTTGGCTGCAGTTTATAAGCCATTAGTTC